TAAGGGATTGATGTATCATCTCAATAAATCCCACAGTAGCCATCGAGGTAGGCATTTCACCAAATATTACAGATGAAGAAATTGAGGTACAAAAAAAGGTTAAATTATTTGCTCAAGCTATGCCTGCTGAGTGATGGGATTTGGGCCCAGATAGCCTGATGCAGAAATAATGTTCTAAGGTGCTATTCTACAGTTACTCTCCTAGGAGTTTGACCTTTTCCAGGCAGATTTCCCAGCCTTACTGTCCTAGAATGATGATTCTATACACCTGCACAGCGCTTTATAATTTATGGATGCTTCCCATCTAATAATCTCATTTAATGATTCATTTAAAGAATATTTATTGAGTGCCTACCAACTGCCAAGTACTGTGCTCTAAGTCCTTGCTTCTCCAAATGTGGTCCCTGAACTAGCAGCAGCTGCAGCACCTGGCAGTTTGTAGGAAAGGCAAAATCTTGGGCCCTGCTCCTAGCCTGAGTCAGAATTTGCATTTAAACAAGATTCCAGGCTGGCTCATGTGCACATTAAAGTTTGAGAATCCCTGCTTTCTAATATTTCCATAAAAACATCATGAAATAGATATCCCACTTTAATACATGGATAGATTTCGGTATTGTGACTTGCTTGTCTTCCCACAGCTAATAATGAGGCAATCTATGTAAAGAGCTTAGAAGAGTGCCTTGCACATAATATGTGCTCAACAAACAACTATTGTTGTGAACCGTTGCTTTTCTCAACTCTATAGCCCTTTGGCCTCAGCAGAGGCCTCTTAGCCGCCAGGCATTCATTCCAAGCAGTGAGCCAAGGATTGTAACTCCTTCTCAGCTCAGCCAGAGTCTACAGAATGGGGAATTAGGGGCTCTGAAAGCTATTGTTGGGTGTGCCTGATGCTACAGCAGGGGCCATCCTGTGGTGAGAATGTTGGTCTCCAGAAGAGGCCAGATATCGAAAGGGACCAGCTGGCTGGATACCTCCTGGAAACTGCATGCCTGCAAACCTCATCCAGTCTGTCTCCAGGCTCCTCGGTGCTGAGCTCCCGCTGTATCCCAAGCCATCCCAGCCTTTCTCTCCACACTTCCTGCCCAAGCCCCTTTCGTAGAAGGCCATCGATACTATACGGCTCCCTCCCAATCCGCAGGACACCACCTAAGGAGGGACTGGGCCTGTCTTCCTGTGCTGGCCAAGACCCCTCCACCCCCACCCCCACCCCAGGGCCCTCCCAGCTAGGGCCCATGGTGCCTGCTTTCCTGTGCAGGTTCCCCACGCTCTTTGGAGAACTAACAACACGGAACATAATTATTTTTAAACAGTCTACTATTTTATCTTTTTATTCTTTGAAGTGAAACTTTAATATACAAATATGATCTTTAAGGTAACATTTGCTTATGGAAAAAATTTCAATTATAATATTCAAGTTATATAAAGTTAAAGATCCCATCCTTTAAGGATGTCATGAGAACTTCTTCACAACTTGTTTCCTTTTCACAATGACCTCACTTAGGCTCGGAAGCTGGGCAAAACCAACTTAAAGGCTTGCCTTTGCCTGAACCACCCCAAGTCCTCCTGTTTACAAAGTCACTTAACTTTTCCCTATAACCCTCTGTCTTCGTTAGACAATAAACGTTCCAAAGGCGCTGCGTTTCTTCTCCACCGTCTGCTCATTCTCAGTCTCTGACTGCCCTTCTTCCACGCCCGCTTTTTATCCCCAACCTTGGTTCCTTCGGGACCTGGAGGACACCCATGGGAGCCTCCTACTCTCCCCACCAAAGGCGGGCCCCGCTCTAGACCCCGCCCC